GGGCGGATCACAAGGTCAGGAGATCGAGACCATCCTGGCTAACACGGTGAAACCCTGTCTCTACTAAAAATACAAAAAATTAGCCGGGCGTAGTGACACTCGCCTGTAATCCCAGCTACTCGGGAGGCTGAGGCAGGAGAATCGCTTGAACTCAGGAGGCGGAGGTTGCTGTGAGCCGAGATGGCGCCACTGCCCTCCAGCTTGGGTGACAGAGCGAGACTCTGTCTCAAAAAATGAGAGAGAAATTAAGAAATGAAAGAAAGAAAAGGAGGAAGGAGAGAAGGAAGGAAAGGGAAGGAAGGAAGGAAGGAAGGAAGGGGGAGGGAGGAAAGGAGGAAGGAAGGAAGGAAGGGAGGGGGAAGGGAGGAAAGGAAGAAGGAAGGAAAAAATGAAGGTAGGTAGGGAGGGGGAAGGGAGGAAAGGAAGGAAGGAAGAGGGAGGAAAGGAGGAAGGAAGGAAGGAAGGTTGGTAGGGAGGGGGAAGGGAGGAAAGGAAGGAGGAAGGAAGGAAGGAAGGTAGGTAGGGAGGCAGAAGGGAGGAAAGGAAGAAGGAAGGAAGGGGGAGGCAGGAAAGAAGAAGAAAGGAGGGGAGGGAGGGAGGGGGAAGGGAGGAAAGGAAGAAGGAAGGAAGGAAGGAAGGTAAGTAGGGAGGCGGAAGGGAGGAAAGGAAGAAGGAAGGAAGGAAGGGGGAGGCAGGAAAGAAGAAGAAAGGAAGGAAGGGAGGGAGGGAGGTAGGGAGGGGGAAGGGAGGAAAGGAAGAAGGAAGGAAGGAAGAAAGGAAGGTAAGTAGGGAGGCGGAAGGGAGGAAAGGAAGAAGGAAGGAAGGAAGGGGGAGGCAGGAAAGAAGAAAGGAAGGAAGGGAGGGAGGTAGGTAGGGAGGGGGAAGGGAAGAAAGGAAGAAGGAAGGAAGGAAGGAGACAGAGAGAGAAAGAGAAAAGAAAGGAGAGAAAGAGTTCAGATTCCTAAATCTCTTCCATAGATACCCGATTCTATAGGCCTGGGGGTGGTGCTCTCCAGCTTTCCTAGACCGTCCACGTCCAACGTATCACAAGGCAACATGCATTGAAGTTTTGCCGTCTTCTCCTCTCCCATCAACGCCTAGCCCAGTCCACCAGCATGTCACAGGGGATGCCTGTTGCCACAAGTCCCCACGCTCATCACACTCCCAGCTTACAGCCCTCTTGCTTCTCGTCCCAAAAGTCTGGAGTGGATCAGCCTCATGTGTGCGATCAGCTAGCTCCATGTCCACCTTTCCTGCGTCTCTTCTGCCTACTCCTTTCCCCGGCCACATTTACTTCTTGATCTCAGACACACCACGTCCACCCTTCTGCCTTGTGCACACAGCTTGCTCGAGCAGCTGTCACTGGGACTTCTCCTCCCTGTATCTACACATCCGCAAATCCCCAGGGCTGCAGACAGCGCTGTCTTTTCCAGCACCATATACCAGGTGCCCAGAGCAGCGCCTGGTCCTGGCAACATTTTTTTTTTTGACTTGTGAGTTTCCCTCTAGTCACCCAGGCTGGAGTGCAGTGGCGCAATCTCGGCTCACCGCAACCTCCACCTCCCGGGTTCAAGCGATTCTCCTGCCTCGGAATCCCGAGTAGCTGGGATGACAGGCGCCCATCCCCACGCCCGGCTAATTTTTTGTGTTTTTTAGGAGACACGGGGTGCCAGGCTGGTCTTGAACTCCTGACCTCAGGTGAACCACCTGCCTCGGCCTCCCAAAGCACTGAGATTACAGGCGTGAGCCAGCACGCCCGGCCCTGGCAACGTTCTTATAGCTGCGGAACAGGCAAAAGTTCAGTGCTGGGCTGGACAGACCGACACAGATGCATAGACTTCTGACAGGCCCATGTTTGCAAACACTCCGTGTCTGGTCACAGGCAAGACAGAGCCATTTGCTCATCTGTCCGCTAGCGATATGAGCTTGGGGGTGGGACAGGCACGTGTCCAGCCCTCCAGTCCCCAAGAAGGTGTGAGATTTAACTAAACAGAGGAAGGGACTATTCCACCCTGGGTCAACCAGGCAGCGCTTACACTACTACCCGTGACCACTACGTTCGGTGGGGAGAAGAACCACCGTCTTTTAAATGTGCTTTAAAAACAGCTCCTTGGTTTTAAAAAAGATTGCTTTTCTGAATTTGGCTAAGTTTATGTTCTCAGCAAACAAATTTCATGCCTCTTAGGACCCAGGATTCTCCTCTCAGAAGGTGACTACTGTACAGCCCCGGGAGAGCTGTGTGATCACCGAATCAGCAGGTCTAGGAAAAGTGAACGGTTTCTATTGGGCTGAGACGCACTTGGCTAGAATCAGCGGAATAACGCAGTCCAAGGCACATAAAAACACAAAAATCGTAAGCGTGAAAAATTTCAGTTCATTGGAAAAGGATTTTATTTCACCATAAAAATGCAAACTGGAGTAAACACCATCTTTCCTAACGCGAACGTTACAGCTATTTTTAAGTACTTCTGAGCTTCACTTGGAGAAGCGAATGATTATAAAACTTAACAAGTTTGCAGCCTGAAATCTGTTTGAAACATTCCAAGTAAAAATAATTTAGCAAAACAGCTTCTTAAAAAAAACCACACGCACTAACCTTTACTAGAAACCAAAGCTTTTTCACCACCCTTTTTTATGCGTAATTCCTGGAAGTTGTAAAAAGTGAATGTTTTGGAAGTGAAGGAGCATCAGACCATTGGGGACCACTCCCCGCACACCGACACCTTAAAAACAATGGCCCGTTTGGGTTTTGATCTCAAAGGACTTGCACGTTCCTCACCGGTGACTCTACGGCAGCATCACGTTTCGGCATCCCACCCAACCTGCATTTCCCGACCAGTTAAAATTACAAACTGGGGCGGGGGGGGGAATCACCAGGGCAACGCTTTTTCTTTTCTTTCTTGAGCCGGTTGACTCCGGTGGTCCACAGCTTTGAGGAGTCTCCCCTGCTGCGGCAGGTGCACCTCCTGGGCCGTGCACGCGGGGAGGTGGCCAAGCAGACGCAGAGATCCCCGCGTGGGGAGGAAGGAATGCGGCAGCTCTGCGCTTCTCACCACTGTCCGTCCGTGCGGTTTTCCTGACTGAGAGAGGCCTGGCCGTAGTAAAGCTATCGGATCCAGTTTTGGAGGACTACGTGTTTGAAACTGAAGTGCCACGTACGCTGCGGTGAGTGAAGATGGATGGATCTGTAAAGCGTGCTGTCTTCCTTCTTGGCGAGCGGGCTCCTCGGACGCTCCTGGCTGCGGGAGGGTCTCAGCTTTGCAGGGGGTGGACGGAGAGCGGCCAAGGAGCGGCCAGGACGCTGGAGCGGGTCCTGGTCTTCCCCGGACAGGCCGTGGGGAGGCCGCGCCCGTCATTACCTGTTCCAGGTACTGCGGTGCTTGCTCGGGGAGCGGGAGCGCGAGCGCT